AAACAATAGAAAAAGAGGGACTCCCCTCTAACTCATTTTATGAGGCCAGCATCATCCTGATATCAAAAGCTGGCTGAGACACAACAAAAAAAGAAAATTTCAGGCCAAGACAAGGATGCCCTCTCTCAACACTCCTATTCAACATAGTATTGGAAGTTCTGTCCAGGGCAATTGGGCAAGATAAAGAACTAAAGCGTATTCAGATAGGAAGAGAGGAAGTCAAACTGTCTGTTTGCAGATGACATGATTATATATTTAGAAAACCCCATCATCTCACCCAAAATCTCCTTAAGCTGATAAGCAACTTCAGCAAAGTCTCAGGATACAAAATCAATGTGCAAAAATCACAAGCATTCCTATACACCAATAACAGACAAACAGAGAGCCAAATCATGAGCGAACTCCTATTCACAACTGCTTCAAAGAGAATAAAATACCTAGGAATACAACTTACAAGGGATGTGAAGAACCTCTTCAAGGAGAACTACAAACCACTGCACAAGGAAATAAGAGAGGACACAAACAAATGGAAAAACATTCCATGCTCATGGATAGGAAGAATACATATTGTGAAAATGGCCATATTGCCGAAAGTAATTTATAGATTCAATGTTATCCCCATCAAGCTACCAGTGACTGCCTTCACAGAATTAGAAAAAAACTACTTTAAATTTTCTATGGAATCAAAAATGAGCCTGCATAGCCAAGACAGTCCTAAGCAAAAACCACAAAGCTGGAGGCATCATGCTACCTGACTTCAAACTATACTGCAAGGCTACAGTAACCAAAACAGCATGGTACTGATACCAAAACAGATATATACACCAATGGAACAGAACAGAGGCCTCAGAAGTAACACCACACATCTACAACCATCCAATCTTTGAAAAACCTGACAAAAATAAGCAATGGGGAAACGATTCCCTATTTAATAAATGGTGTTGGGAAAACTGGCTAGCCATATGCAGAAAACTGAAAGTGGACCCCTTCCTTATACCTTACACAAAAAACTCAAGATGCATTAAAGACATAAATGTAAGACCTAAAACTATAAAAACCCTAGAAGAAAACTTAGGCAATACCATTCAGGACATAGGCATGGGCAAAGATTTCATGACTAAAACACCAAAAGCAATGATAACAAAAGCCAAAATTGACAAATGGGATCTAATTAAAGAGCTACTACACCTACACAGCAAAAGAAACTATCATCAGAGTGAATAGGCAACGTATAGAATGGGAGAAAACTTTTGCAATCTATCCATCTGACAAAGGGCTAATACCCAGAATCTACAAAGAACTTAAACAAATTTACAAGAAAAAAACAACCCCATCAAAAAATGGGCAAAGGATATGAACAGACACTTCTGAAAAGAAGACATTTATGCTGCCAATAAACATATGAAAAAAACTCATAATCACTGGTCATTAGAGAAATGCAAATCAAAATCACAATGAGATACCATCTCATGCCAGTTAGAATGGCAATCATTAAAAAGTCAGGAAACAACAGATGCTGGAGAGGATGTGGAGAAATAGGAATGCTTTTACACTCTTGGTGGGAGTGTAAATTAGTTCAACCATTGTGGAAGACAGCATGGCAATTCCTCAAGGATCTAGAACTAGAAATACCATTTGACCCAGCAATCCCATTACTGGGAGTATATACCCAAAGGATTATAAATCATTCTACTATAAAGACATATGCACACATATGTTTATTGTGGCACTGTTCACAACAGCAAAGACTTGGAACCAACCCAAATGCCCATCAATGACAGACTGGATAAAGAGAATGTGGTATACTACAAGGATACAGTAACCAAAACAGCATGGTACTGGTACCAAAACAGATACACAGACCAATGGAACAGAACAGAGGCCTCAGAAGTAACACCACACATCTACAACCATCCGATCTTTGACAAACCTGACAAAAACAAGCAATGGGGAAAGGATTCCCTATTTACTAAATGGTGTTGGGAAAACTGGCAGCATGGAATACTATGCAGCCATAAAAAAGGATGAGTTCATGTTCTTTGCAGGGACATGGATGAAGCTGGATGGAAACCATCATTCTCAGCAAACTAACACAAGAACAGAAAACCAAACACCGCATTTTCTCACTCATAAGTGGGAGTTGAACAATGAGAACACATGGACACAGGGAGGGGAACATCACACACCAGTGGGGGGCTAGGGGAGGGATACCATTAGGAGAAATATCTAATGTAGATCACAGGTCGATGGGTGCAGCACACCACCATGGCATGTGTATACCTATGTAACAAACCTGCACATTCTGCACATGTACCCCAGAACTTAAATTAAAAAATAAAAAGATATTCATCAAATCAGTAATGAGGACTGATGTCAATGTATAGTTTTACCTCCAACTAAGAGGTTGTGAAGATATAGGAAAATAGTAATAAGAGACATAAAGATACTTGTTATGTGGCAATAAAAAACTATTTTTATACAAAAGCAATTAAAAAATCTATAGTGGAATACTTTTAGATTTACAGAAAAGTCAAAAGGTTATAGAGTGTCTTTATTCTCTGCAGCTAGGTACCTCTAATGTCTTATCTAACCATGGTACATTGGTCAAAACTAAAAAATTAACAATGATGCGGTACTATTAACTAAAGAGTTCTGCAGATTCTCGGTAATGCCCTTTTTCTATGAAGGACGCCATCCAAGATATCACATTAAATTCAGTCATCATGCCTCCTTAGCCTCCTCTGCTCTGTGACAATTATTCAGTCTCTTTCTGTGACAGTGACACTTTAAAAATCCTCTCAGAAATTTTCTGGCATGTCCCTGAATCTGGGTTTGATGTTTTCTCATAATTAGACCGAGGCTATATGTTTTTAAGAATATCAGGAAGCTTTGAGACCTACACTTCTCAAAGCATCATATCAGGTAAATCATGTTATATCAACATGACTTTTCAATGGTGATGTTAACCTTGATCACTTGGTTAAAGTAGTGCTTGCCAGATTTCAACAATGTAAAGTTATTTTCTTCTCTTTCTGTACTCTGCTCCTTAAAAGCAAGTCATTAAGTCTAGCTCATATTTCCAGGGGAGGAGAACTAAGATCACGTATCAGAGAGCATAGTAGCTACCAATATTATTTGGGATTCTTCTATAGGAAAGATGTGCTCCTTCTCCCCCATTTATTTTTCAACCATTTTATTTATATCAGTATGGATTCATGGATATTCTTTGTGCTGTAATCTAATGCTATCATCACTTATTTAGTTGCTCACATTATTCCAGTTTTGGCTACTGGCAGCTAAGTATTTTATATAAATCACTGAATCCTCCAGCAATCCAGTGAGACAGGTACTGTTAAGTCTTATTTTACAGAAAAGGAATCTTAGGTTCAGAGAAAGTAAGAAACCTTCCCAGTGACATATCTTATTTATGGCAAAGCCAGGATCTATACCTAGTAGTCTGACTCCAGCGTCTATGTGTTTAGCTTAGCTATGCTATGCTGCTCTCTAAGGGAAATAATTGCTCCACAAATGTCAATCAGAGGTAAGGCATTGAATCACTTCTTAGATAGCACATACATAAAGAGCCACAAATGGTCAAAACTAAGCCTGCTGCCAGGTGGGAGGAGGAATGAGTGGTTAACAAAGGAAAGAGAAGGGATAATAGGAGCTTATAGGGCAACTAATGTCATGGAAGAGAAGAAAAAAGTTCATTGAAAGTGTAATCAATTTGGTTGCAGGGCCACAGAAAATGAGCCTATGATAAGAAGTTTAGTGAACCAACACTGCAGTATAATGGAAGGATGGAAAACAAAACTAGATTTCAGGAGATCAAAACTGTGACAAAGGAAGAAGGTAAAGAAGTAATTTAATAGAGAAGGAAGTGCAGGTTCAAGTAATTTTTTTCCAGGATGGAGAAGGATCTATTCACAGGGAATCCTACAGAAAAGGAGAGCCTCTTAGAAGGGAGTTGTCAAAGCTGTGTGCATGAGAATGGGAAAGGACAGGGGCTAACCCTAGAGTTCAGGAACCTCTCCTCCTCACATACTGTAGGTAAGTCCAAGGATAGAGGAATTGCTGAGGTGAAGGTACAGACAAACTTAGGATGATACCCTCAATTTTATTAGTAAAAACAGAAACAAGGTCATCTGCAGGCAGTGAAAGAAATTAGACAGATGTCATCCAGTCCTGTCAGTGGCCAACATCCCTGGGTCGGTGTTTGGTAGAGCTGGTGAAATTGGACAATCTGGAGTCATTCATGGTGACAGAAATCACCTAAGTGCAAGCAGAGATGCACTCAGGTTATCTGGATTTTTACTTGAATTTTTTCAGATCAAAGAGTTAAAACTAAATATTTTATGTAATTCTTAAAGACTCAGGGTTAGTCTAAAATGTTCAGAATTAAGTATGATGCTAACTTATGATATGCTAGTGGAGAAAAATACCAAATTGTAAAGAAGAGATATAAATCTAATAGAAAAATAACTGTCACGAGAATGAAAACTTCTCAGAAATTTTTCTTCAATCAATTCTAATTGCAGAATTTTTCATGAATGTTCAACACTCATGAATTTAAGGCCAAAGGCTTCCATATCATTTATACTTATTAAACAGAAATACTAAGTTTGGGCAATAGTTTTTCTAAACTAAGCAAAAAATACAGCTAACAAGGGTTATTTCAAATTTCTTCAGAAATATTCATAAAATATTATTAAAATGGGATTTTGGATTTTAATCTGAAATACACTACTACACTGATAACACAGGGCTTAAAAAAGTTCATTTCAGAAGCATTTTAATTCATGAAGCTACTGAGAGTGTTTTTTTATATCCAGATAAAGGTCAAACACTGGGGGCAAAATTGTATAAGAAGTTTATGAATTATTGACTTAACATATCACTAAGCATTGTAGATTGCCCTCATCTAACATAGTTATAATACTATAGTATAAATGATAATTTCCTTTACGTGGACCAGAGAGAAGAATTTACATTAAAACATGTTATCCATATTTGTTATTTTATTATTTATTGTATACAACTTTGATAATAAGGACATTATAAATCATACTTTAAGCAAAAATCTATGCATGATATAGGTAAGCAGTAACACTTTGAAGAAAAAAGCCATGAAAACATTTACCTAAAATTTAGTAACATCGAAAAACACTGGTTTGTGCATAGTAATGACTGAAATCTTCATAATACACTAGAATACTGGTAAGTCTTCAGGTATTATAAGAAAAACCTGGTATAGGAAAAGACTAAATGAGACACATCCACATCCTTAAATGTGCACATCATCTAGAAATAACTCTCTCAATGTAGCGGTGCACTAAGCATCCTTTGTTTGGCACTTAAAACAGACAAACAGGTATTTGGTTTAATGTGATTTTATTATTCTTAGATACATTTTAGTTATTTTATATAGATAAAAATATACAATATTGCTTTTAAAACTTTTAATTTTATAACTGTATAACTGATTGTCATCATATTCATGATTAAAAAGCCTATTTTTCCACTAAACAGTTTATCCAGTAACATGTGGAAGAGAGTAACAAAAATGGTTTATATAAGACTTACAATAAAAGGTTTAAATGTAAAAATAGAGTATTAATCTAGACCACTGGTCTAAATCCTTAAAAGGATACCTCATGCTGGAAACAAATTATGAAATGTTTCAGACAAATTTTCAAAACTTAAATTGATTCTACAGGTTCAAAGTTTTGACTGACAATACACAGAACTGAGAGATATTTTGTACGAAGACACTTTTATATACATTAATTTACTAAAAAAAGTAAAAGAAATAAGAACTGTATTTTTTTTTTTTTTTTTTTTGGAGATGGAGTCTCGGTCTATTGCCAGGCTGGAGTGCAGTAGTGTGACCTCAGCTCTACAACCTCTGTCTCCCGGGTTCAGGCTATTTTCCTGCCTCAGGCTCCCGAGTAGCTACGACTACAGGCTCACGCCACCATGCTCAGCTAATCTTTGTATTTTTAGTAGAGACGGGGTTTCACCATGTTGGTCAGGATGGTCTCGATCTCTTGACCTTGTGATCCACCCTCTTCGCCCTCCTCCCAAAGTGCTGGGATTACAGGCGTGAGCCACTGCACCTGGCCAAAAACTGTATTTTAATACATCTCAGTTTGGGATTCCTCAGATTTTAAAATAATACATGTAAAATGTGTCTAAGCTCTTCAGCTCTCATAGCTAAAGGAAAGAATAGCTGAGTGTGGTGGCTCACGCCTGTAATCCCAACACTTTGGGAGGCCGAGGTGGGAGGTTCACCTGAGGTTAGGAGTTTGAGACCAGCCTGGCCAACATGGTGAAACCCGTTTCTACTAAAAATACAAAAATTAGTTGGGCATGGTGGCATATACCTGTAATCCCAGCAACTTGGGAGGCTAAGGCAGGAGAATCGCTTGAACCCAAGAGGTAGAGGTTGCAGTGAGCCAAGATTGTGCCACTGCACTCCAGTCTGGGCGGCAGAGTGAGACTCTGTCTCAAAAAAAAAAAAAAAAAAAAAAAAGAAGAAGAAAAGAAGAAAAGATGGTGTCATTTTTTTCTTTTAAGCCATTTCAGGACAGTAAAGTTGGTAGAGTGATTAATTTGCCTATTGGTAAAGATGATCAGTATATCATTAAAAACAACCTAATGTTTGAAGGTAAATGAACTGTGTGGTTGTCTTTTTCTTAATACCAACTTTAAGCAGTTGGATTCATTACTTTATTTCTTACAAAGACACACTGATAAAGTATGAAAAGCCCCAACAAATTATTTAAGTGCATATATAAGGTATGGACTTTTTAAAATGAAAAACTGCAAATATCTTACAAATAATTTTGTTCATTATATCTATACAATGCACCATTCAATTCACTCATTACAATACTTTGCACCAAACATTGCTATCTGCAATCTTAACACTCCTCAAATATGAGAAAAACAAATAGTTTCCACTGTTCTAAGAAGCGAAATTTATAAAGTCAACACAATATATTATCAAGGTTTATAGGTCTAAAACAATTTTTAAAGACAATTTATACACATTGAAATGGGTGTTTTGCTTAATATAATTAAAAAGTTAGAAATAAAGCTTCTTGCAATTTAATAAACATGGTTGCAGTTAACAGCAGATTTTTCACATTGCAACATTCAACTATCATGAGTCTTCAATAAAGGTAAAGAGTGGTATATTTCTTCTGAAAACACTGTTGAGAAACTTAAGTGTGATTGTCTTAATATTTTTATAATAATTAAGAATAATTTGGAAAGACATTTTACTTTTAAATTTTTTCAACATAAGGCACATAGCAACATTTATAGTCTAGAAACTACTAAATTATGTAATAAATATTTTTTCAATCATTATTTGCCCTTTACCTAAAGAAAATAGGTGAGTAGAAGAGTTAAAACATGCCTGAATTAATGAAAATGGTTGGATTTAGGAAATACAAATAATATTTGTGTGCAGAAAGATATTAATTTAAAAAAGAATACTTTATATAAAATATACATCCTACAGTGTTACAGGTAGAAAAAAATGTGAGGCACTTAGATGAACAGTGGAGGAGGAGAGCACGGAGATCATCTTTTTATAAAAAGCACCAAACCGTTTATTTTAACATCCGAGATAAAAGCAGAGGTTAACATGATAGGAAAAACTAGTTTAGTTCTGTAACTTTGTATTTGGGGAACTAATAAGAATCCAGTAGTTCAAAACTCAAAGTATTTTATTTTTATTCTGACAGAAATAATTCAAATAAAGAATGCTTTCTAATTTAAAAGAGTCTTAGTTTCCCTGATAAAGTTTTGCATATTTTGTGGTGCTCAGAATAATGTGAAATGTAGATGGTATCTCACTACTCTGTGGCAGTACACTTTCTACCTTAATGACTATAGTATAGGTACTATTTTGATACCATTTTTAAACTTCCTTTTCTAAAAGCAAAAATTAAAATTTGGTTTGGAATAATTGTGAATAGCATGCATCAACGCCTCCATGTGAACTTGCTGACGTCCAACAGTGACAGTTTTATTATTCCATAATCCTTCACAAACTAATTTAATCCAAAAACCAGGGTCAAAATTGGGCTTGGAATTACAGGAATCCACTGGATGTCAAATCAGGAAAAGGTCTGGCTTCTGACGGATGATGAAGTGGCTGAAGATGTGTGGTAGCCTGAGTGTTATTTATGTTATTTAATTCAGCTGGATATGTTTCATTTAAAACTCCATTCTGAAACTGAAAACAAAAATGATGATGCAACTTATTGGAATAGATCTTCCAAGTATCTTAAGCCATTAAATAACATATTAACATGTATTTTTAAAATCTTACCCCTGAGAGTTGTAAACTTTAAGTTCCTTTACTGCTGCTAAATTTAAATCTTTCACACAGTGAAGACATACTGAGGACATATTACGTATTAGTTACATTTATAACCTGTTTTTCCATTAATCTGACAGGAAATTTTGAACATGGTACAGATGAGTGATACAGCTGTCTCATTTCAGACTGCCTTTGGGTCAGGCAGGAATTGATGGGTCAAAGAGCACCAGTCAGGAATTACAGTTAAATATTCTCTGTCATAAGTAGGTTTGCTCTGACCAGGTTTCAAGTTATAGGTGTCAATGAACTGATTATATTCAGGAATCTTACACTGGAATGAAAAACTTTTCCAAAAAAGGTAGCTTCTGATTTTCTAAATGTTTCTAAATATTCCTAAAATATTACACCACAGGTATGATTTTCATAACTGATTCCTTATTCATACTTTTAATTAATACTACTGAAAGCATAGTTCTAATTACAGAATCAAGTTACCAAAAGAAAATGCCCTTTCTTGTTTTCTTACACTGCAATGAATCTGGTTTCTATAACTGCTAGTAGAAAAAAGAAAAATAAAAAGGAACGACATGAAGATGCACAGCTCTGTAGAGTTTTATAGATTATAGAGCCTTTATATTTTAGTTAGTGGAAGTTCTGGAAACTTTAGAACAGATTAAAATCATAGCCTTAATTGCTTCAAATAAAATCTACCTTTGTAAAGCCTACATAACAGGCTTCAGTAATCAAAATGTTAATTACTTCACAGATCCTCCAAAACATATATAAAATCTATAGTAAAAGTCATATAACCTGTCTCTTCAATGAATGGCAATACTGTAAATTCTTTAAATAAAAAGTATTACCTATCCGGATAATGGTGAGTTTTAAATGATTTTTTCTCATTACTCATAACACAATTCATGTCAGCCATTCTCTTTAAACATACTGTACAGATAGTGTCATCCAATAGAAATATAATGTGAGTCACATACAGAACTTAAATTTTTGGCCACAGTAGATTAAATAAAATACATTACTAAAGTTAATTTTACCTGTTTCTTTTTACTTTTTTAATGTGGCTGCTGAAAAACTAATCATTTCAACATGAGATCAACAATAAAAGATGAGATATTTAACATTCTTTTTTCAAGCCAAGTCTTCAAAAATCCAATGTGTATTTCACACAGCACATCTCAATTTGGACTAGCCACATTTCAAGGGCTCAACAGCTACTCAGTGGCTCAATATTGAGTGTCTTAGCTCAATAACATCTACTCTGGAGTATATGTGGGTCTACAGAATTATTTGTTTATTCACAAAGAAACAATAAAAAGTAGCGAGGGGAAAACACTGCAAAGAACTTACGTGCTACTCATGCAACTCCTTATTCAAAATGTAATTTTACAGAATTAACTTCTGGACAATTTGCTTTACTCAAGAGTAAAATATACTTTCATAGCAATTTTCTGAGATAGACTAACTGAATATTATTCAATTTTAATACAATTGAAAGATGTAAGGAATGAGAATAAGAAAAAATCTTCACCATCATTTTCTATTAAAAAGCTCATAAACGATTACACAAGCAAAATGTATGAAAAAAGCCAGAAAATACAATTAAAGATAAAGCTTCAGGTCATACTTTTAATTATTATACTCTAATACAGAGTAAACAGGGGCCAAGGAGCTTAATTTTAGTCAAGATATTCTTTAAAGCTAAACTTAAATATCCTTTAAAATGAACTAAATATATTCTAATGGAAAAGCATAAATGCAAACATGATATATTCCTGAGTGGCCAGAGACAGCAGCTATTAACATTATGTTAACTTTTTTTTTCAGTGATCATTTTTAAAGCGTGCTCACTGCCAGATAGATTCTGATGACACATTTAAACAACAAAAATACACTATCAAGCTTGATTTCCATGACAGAAAGCCAGCTGAGTTACCTCTTTCAAGAAAGGCAGAAAAGAAAGCCATTCTACCTTAAAGGATAAAATGAGGATAGGGGAGGTAGTGTGGAGGAATAGCTCGAGAACATGGAGGTGCCTAGGACTGAATTCCAGGGATATAATTAATCTAGAGTTTCAAAGGCATTGTAAGAAAGTACACTTACATTTGAGTTTAACTCAATTTCAAACACATATAAAAAAATAGAGCTTTGAAGAAATTATTCTTAAAAATTGCAATACTTTTTGAAGTTTGAATTTTTAAATTGCCATATTTTTAAAGAATCCAGAAAGAATAAACCAAATTATCTATTTTAAACATAATACTTCTAAAAACTAATTTCACCTGGTAATTTAGGTCATCTTATATTAAGGACACATTCATGTTGCTTCAGTCCTTCGTATCTTTCTCCCTCATGAATCAGGTGAATGATATACTAGAAAAAGTACAGGCTTGTAAAAAAAAAAAAAAAAAAAAAAAAAGGTAGTCACAGCTATAATGAAAAATGCTGTCTCCATGAACGCTACGGAAAATAGATTACAATCAGCTGACATAAAAAATGTGTAACATGTCTATAAGGTAAAAAGAACCACTGAAAGATTTATTCAGTTTGATAACACCCTTACCTTGTTTAAAAATGCCTGCTGGCCTGGCAGTACGGGGTTGTACTGCATCTGACCCACGTGGGTGTGCTGAGGTTCTGGCTGGCACTGATACATCGACATGGCCCCAGCATAACAAGTCTGAGGAGTTACTATGGCTGACTGTGGATTTAATCCATGCTTTTGGTTTTCAGGAACTTGTAAACAAGTGACAAAATCTTCTAAACTAGAAGTAGTGGGGTATGGGGATGGTTCATAACTCCCCATAGGATAGTCCAGCTCTGTACATTTGGAATGTTGTGGTAATACAGGCTGATTACAGGAAATAAAGTTCTGTGTATAAGGCACAGGATCCATTTCAGATTTGTAGGGGAACTCTTGATTGATCCCATGTAAGTCTGAAAAGACATTATATTGTTGTGGGTCTTGCCGTGGACAACTGAAAGGCACGAATTGGTTAGAGCTCCAATTTGCAAACATGCCATTAACTTGCATATGCTTCATTTTCTGACACAGTTGTTGCTGTGGCTCCACTACTGCTTGCTTTTGGTGATGCTGTTGTTGCTGTTGCTGTTCTAACTGTAGGTGTTCCTGTACCATACAGCTTGAGTTCAGAGCCAGGGACTGTTGTTGTTGATAATCTGAAGGTATGAACGGAGACTTACTTAAAGAATCTTGGATGTATGTCAAGATTTCATCTGTTAAGTCAATGTCTCTGAAGTCAACCTCACTGGAAAAATCATTTCTGAAAAATTTTTCATTCTGCATGTGTTTGATGTCTTCAAAATCAATGCCTAGGTTTTTCATAATGCTGTACAAGTCACTGTTTTTACTATCCTGAAAGAGCCCTAGGTGACCTCCAGCAAATGAGTTCACATCCTGAGGCTGGTCAATTTGCTCATGTTTCAGGATAGTATCATTTCCCATCGGTGCAGTATTATCTTCCCAATTTCTGCATTCACTCATAGATTCGTTCAAGAAATTGTTCTCAAAAGGTGCAGTACTTGAAGTACTTGAAGCAGGATAGAGATAAATAGACTCATCTTGTTGCATCACGGCAGCGAGGAGGGAACTAGGATTGAGAGAATCCTTGTTTAGAGTTGATTTGGTAGCAGAGTCTTTTTCGCTAGTGCCATTTTTAGTCCTTAGTGGTAAGGGATCCATTATGGCAGGAAAAGGGTTGGTTGCCTCATACAACAAAGCTTCTCCAGTGGTAAACATAAAAGGCAACTTCATATTTCGTTTTCGTAAATGCTCGCTTCCTTCCTCATCTCTAAAGTTGTGTACAAAAAAGTCTTAGAGAAAATTCTATCAAACATTTTAAAATAAAAATTATTAAAGAAAGAAAAACATCAAGCAAAATACATTATGATTGAATTCAAAAGCGGGAATATTTTATTTTCACCTCAATTATTCTCATGACTGGCGCTATAAAATTGTTTTTCAGACAAGCATATTTAAATGATTTAATTTTTTAAAAATAACTTAGTTAATTCCATGGTCACATTACATCCCTACCTGACACCATGCAAAAACAAAAACAAAAACAAAAATTGTGTGGAATAAAGCTCTACACATAAAAACAGACTACGAGAATTTAGGGGCCAGGCACGGTGGTGCATGCCTGTAATTACAGCACTTTGGGAGGCTGATGTGTGCAGACTGCTCGAGCCCAGGATTTTGAGACTAACCTGGGAAACACGGCGAGACCCTCACCTCTACAAAAAAATAAAAATTAGCTAGGCGTGGTGGCACATGCCTACAGTCTCATCTACTCGGGAAGCTGAGGCAGGAGGACTGCCTGAGCCGGGAGGTTAAGGCTGCAGTGAGCCACATTTGTGCCACTGCATTCCAGCCTAGGTGATAGAGTAAGCTCCTGTCTCAAAAAAATAATAATAACAAAATTAAAAAAATTAGGAATTAGAAACTTAAGAATCTGAAACAACAAACCTCTCTAATAAAACCCAGAAGCTATAAAGACAAAGATTGGCATAATTAGTAATATGAAAGTTATTTAATATTAAAGTATTTGTATTTTTGCAATAGAATTCTTAAATAAAATATTTGTAACATATATAATTTATAATATATATATATATAATTTCACATCCATAATAAAGAGCTCCAATAGTGTCTAAGAGAGAGGCAAACAACTCAACAGAAAAACAGGTAAATGACACAAACGTAATTTATAAAAGAAAAATATCCTAGAAAGATGTAAAAAGATGCCCCCTATTAGTAATAAATAAATGAAAACAACATGTCTTAAAACAGAAGCACACAAAATATGAACAAATGTATAGAAATATGAACACAATTAACAAACTAGACTTCTGATATACAAAAAGAACAACATATTCCCAAATGACAGAACATGTATTCTTCACAAGATTACATGGGATATTTTACCAATGTAGACCATGTGTTAGATCATAAAATAAGCCACCACAAATTTCAAAAAAACTGAAATTCATTCAGAGAACGTTTTCTGACTATAGTAGAACTAAGCTAAGTCAATCACAAAAAGGCAACTAGAAAAATCCCCAAACACCCTAAAGTACAGTAACACTGTATTTCTAAATAATTTGTGAATAAAAATAAAATAAAATAAGAAAATTAGCCAGTATTTTCAATTAAATAAAAATAAGATAGCAAAAGATGAGGGTTGTAAAGTTGTACTTAAAGGGAAACTGATATATATGTTTAAGTATATATTTTTTAAAAGTTGGATAGAATTGTAAATTATACCCAAAGAAAGTAGAAGAAAATAATAATGAGCAGACATAATTAAAACTGAAAACAAATGTATAAAATAGAAAAAAATCAATAAACCAAAAGTTGGATCCTAATAAAGACTAATAAAGTCTAATTTAAAAAAGGTGCCTTCTAGAAACATTGATCAAGCGAGAAGGACAAATTTATAGAGGTACACACATACCCACGCACTCATATACATCTGTACACACATACTCATATACTTCCATGGGTACTTATATACACACATACATTCACCATGTTCATGGGTTCAAAGATTCAGTATTAAAAGGATGTTAATTCTCCCCAAATGATCTACAGTTTCAAGGTAATCTCACTCAAAATCTCAACAGATTTTCAGACAACTGTTTTCTAAAATGTATATGGAATTATAAAGGGCAAAGAAGAACCAAGGCAATCTTCAAGCAGAACAACAAAAAAGGTGAAACAAACAAAATGAAGACACACTCAGACATAGAATTTATAATAAAGATAGAATAACTAGGACTGTGTAATGCTAGACAAAATAGACAACTACACCAATGGAACTATTAATAGAACAACACAATCCAGACAGAGAACCAAAGACAAAATCCCCTGATCAAAATACAGTGCAGTGAGGAAAAGATGACCTTCTCAGTAAATCATCTTTTCAATGTGACTGGTCAATTGGGTATACATATAAGGGCTGGGGGGAATCAATCTTTACCTCAAGCCACAGACAAAAATCAATTCTCCAGGGTGGGAGGAAACATTTGCAATACAAATATTTGATAAAGGACTCATTTGTAACATATGTAAGAAACTCTTGAAATCACTGCTGGGTTTACAGAACATATTCTAAATAAAGCATTGTTATATTTTTCTTTTATTTTACCAATGACACTAGCTTTTCATATGTACTTCATATGCCCAGGATAAAACCCTAGTGTTTTCTTTTACTTTTCTTTCTATAGCTCTGCACATGTAGCTGCTCAATAAAATCTGTCAATTCTATCTTCTCAATGTCTCTCACCTGTGCTCTTCTTTCTAGACAAATTACTTAAACTTTTCAGTTTTTATTTACAGACTAAATTCTGCTTGAATTATTTTTATGCTTTCGTGTAAGAGGACTTATGAAAACAAAACTGTTAACAAAAACAGAAAACATTCTTTTGCTTACGTTAGTGGTCTCTGAGTCGCAATGATATAATCTGGTCTTCCATTTTTATAAAGCAAGCGTGCATTAGACTGGACCCACGTCCATCGATTGTTTTTTGTAAGAAGCCGGAAAACTATCAAGCCGCTTTCTCCAGTCTTAATCACTAAAATAAAATTTAAAAATTAAATTATCAAACCCCAAATCAATATATTAAAGAATATTCCTAAAACAAAGCTCTTGTGACATAGTTCTGTATGTATTTCCTTTATCCCCAAAGACAATACATTTTAAACACACACAAAAAAAGGCATGGAAATGGTTTTTCAGAGTCTTTTTTTCCATTTCAGACTAAATTTATTATTTTAAATGTTAAAGGGAAGATTATGTACCAGACAATTCTAGTAACACAGGAAAGTAGAGAGAGAGCATAAATTGGGGACAAAAAAGATTAAAAAATTATTTTTAAATAGGGAATATTTTCCTACAGGCTAATACTTTATAATTTTAAAGTAGAGTTATTAACATTATTGTTACAATATTAACATAGATTTATGAATTGATAACAATGTAATTAAAAAATTACCAAGCAAAACTTCATGGGCCAAATGGTTATTTTTTAATAACTAAACAACAATATTTCTATGAGGCAGGTATAGACAAGTTAATGAACAAAGAGTGTAACCCTGGTAAGTTACTAAGTAGAAGTTTATCCATATAGTTTACTTAAACATGTTACATTACATAAGAATTTGAAACATGTACTACAGTGTATGCCGTTTTTTTCTGACATGTTCATAAGGAACTACAACTTACTCCGGATATGGGACTCAGCACAATAAAGCATATCAGCAGCATGAATAAACTGATACCCTGATCCTCTCGTGCACAGCTCTGCTTCAGTATATCCTAAAACAATTCTTCCTCTGTTTAAAATTTAAAAAGGTAAAATAAGAATGAATTATGATTTAACATAAATGAAATAACAAAGATAAATTCATTGGTTTTACGCTAGTTTCTGCAATGTTTTAGTTCACATTTAGAATTTCACATCAGTAAGTAGATATGAAATTAAACACATCTATGTCAACCGCTCTTCCTTGCTTATGATTGCAAATTTCAGTTTCAGCCTATTTTCTTTTCCTGAATAAAACCACGGAAATTAGTATGCGAAAACTGAATCTAATAGAGCAGATGTATGGGTAACAGAAAATATTTAATAAAAATCTGGAATGTTTTTATAATCTATTTTTAGGGAAGAAGGTTTTTCAAATTACCTCTCTGCATTCCCACATTAGAAAGGAGAAAAGCACTGATATGTTTTGATACGGTATAAATGCTTAATATCAGACTCTTGCTCACAATTTTCTGAAAGTTACTGAAACTTCTGGGGCTAGAAATCAAATAACATCTGTGCCATTTAAAAACGTAAAACAAACCAACATAAATGTCATCAGAAGAACAAACCTTACTAATATATAAGAACATCATCATCTGAGACAAGTCTTGCAAAAAATTAAAAAGATGATTTGTGAGCCTGATGAAATTATTTTTACTGTAAAAGCCTACACTGAAAGAATAAAAGCTAATAGCCAATCTAATAATAAACAATATTACATACAGTCCACAATGTATGTTTTACATGCTAAGAGAGACTTACTGAAACATAATGTACATCTGATAGAATAAAAGTGAAAAAGTCTCACTTACTTGGCATCACAACCAATAGGTGTGAAGTCTAGTTTGTGTTTGGTTCTAAAGATAAAATTTTTGGTCCGGATTTCAAGTATGGATGGTGGCTGAAGTGGAGTAGCTATCGCAAACAAAGCCAACTGAGGTGGAAGTATTGATCCATCTTTCCCTTTCTTTTTCTGTCCATGAAGATACTTTAACCTCCCTTGGAAATTCATTGCCTTAAAATAATAACAACAAAAAACGTTCATTAAAATTAAAAATATGAAAGTTCCTTTTAAAAAGGCTCCATTATAGCTGCTTCTAGGGTTCTTGATAATTCCATAAATATTCCTGAAGTTGAGAACTGTTAGTTTCTTTCATTCCTGTCTCCATGGGACACCCATTAAAACTATCCCAAAGAGTAATATGAGAAATATTCTAAAGGGATAAGTGAACCATTCATTGTTCCTAAATGGTCATAACATGAATACCTATATAATTTTCCAAGCTTGCCATTACCCTATCATTTTCACCTCACACAGCTCCTTCCACACCAGGCAATCAATATATCCTGAATGGTGATAAAGCCCTAAACATTCATTTTCAAGCATACATGAACTATATTGCAGCTCATAGCATATTGCATAGTTCATAGTAATCTTTTCTATAGAGACAAAATATAATTTTATTAAAACACTAAAATGAATCATCATGAAAACATATAAAGAATGCAGAGCTCTACTGAGTAAAGATATGGAATAAATTTAGAAGACAGGGAAAACAAAGGCAACTTAAACATGAACATGATATATTTAATTGGTTACAACAGTATCAACCAGTCCAAGGGATGGTTCTGACATCAAAATAATAGCAGCGCAAGGAGGAAAAGACCCTCTTGCACACAGGTATTCCACCTCAGACATACAGTCACATGTCACTTAACAAAAGGGGCATGTTCTGTGAAATGTGTCCTTAGGCAATTTCGTCATCCTGTGAACATCAGAGGGTAGGTACACAAACCTAGACGGTATACCTTACTATGCATCTACGCTATACAGTATAGCCTTTTGTTTCTAGGCTACAAACCTGTACAGCATGGTATCATACTGAATAAGTAATTGTAACACAGTAAGTATTTTCTATCTAAACATAGAAAATACACAGTAAAAATAAAGTATAAAAAATGGTATACCTATATAAGAGTACTTATTGTAAATAAGGCAGGCAGGACTGAAAGTTACTCTGGTTTAGTCAGTGAGTGAGTGGTGAGTGAATGTGAAGGCCTGAGATGTTACTGTACACTACTATAGAGTTTATAAACACTATACACTGAAGCTACGCTGAATTTATAAAAAATATTTTCCTTTAGGCCGGGCGCAGTGGCTCATGCCTGTACTCCCAGCACAACTTACTGTAACTTTTTTACTTTATAAACTTTTACACTTTTAACTATTGACTCTTTGTAATAATACTTAAACACAGTGTACAGCTACACCAAAATATTTTCTTTCTTTACATCCTTATACTATAAGCTTTCTCCCATTTTTTAAAAATTTTTTTTTACATTTTAAACTTTTGTGTTAAAACCTAAGACATAAACCCACACATTAGCTTAGGTCTGCACCGTGTGAGGATCATTAATGTTCCTATCTTCCACCTCTACATCTTGTCCCACTGGAAGGTCTGCAGGGGCAATAACATGCATGGAGCTGTCATCTCCTGTGATCTTCTTTTGGAATATTTCCTGAAGGACATGCCTGAGCCTGCTTTACAGTTAACCTTATTCTAAAATAATGATTAAAATAAAATCATTAAAAGTATAATAAATTAAAAAATAAAGTAAAATAATGATTAACAGTAAATACATAAATACATAGTGATTTATTACTTTCAAGTATTATGTATCATACATAATTGTATGTGCTATACTTTTTATATGACTGGCAACACAGGTTTGCTTCCATCAGCATCACCATCAACATGTGAGCAATGCTATGACATCGTTAGGTGATAGGGATTTTTTGGCTCCATTATGATCTCATGGGACTACCATCATATACGTGGTCTGTTACTGACCAAAGCATCATTATGCAGCACATGACTCTACATAGTAATTGTTCATGAGCAATAATACTGAGAAAACTACCTCAAAGCACAATTCTAATTCTGGGTCAGCAAAATCTTCTTCAGAAATAAACACATAAACAAAAATCATTGCTTGGTAATGCTTAATTTAAGATTTGATTACCTGTTTCAAATTCCTTGTTATTCACAAAAAGTATACAATATACTCTGTATTCTCTTCTCCTGTACTTGGTGACACAAACTAAGGATACAATGAGAGACAGACAAGTCCACTCTGAGGAATCCTAAGCTGCTCCCTACAGCAAACTCCTATGCAGGTATTCAGACTTTGCAACAAGAAACAGCGTCTCCTATCAGATGATGATTCTACAATTGCGAATATACAATCATTTTTCTATGTGGCAGTTATTTGAGACATATGGAAAGGCCATTATTTTTCTGTCTAGCAGGCATTAAATCCTCCTATTAAAAAAGGGCTACATAATTCTCTCCTATCTTAAAAATCCTAAAATAGTCAAAACACAAGGCTTCATGTTATTTCACTCAATCTTTGTTACTATATTCTAAAGAACAGTTTTCTGAATTATAGAGGATAGTCAAAATCAGAAATAATTATTTTAAAATGCAACCTTATCAAATTATTTGGTAGATTTTTAAAGCTGAAATCAAAGATAACCAAAGAAAATTGGCTTCACTTGACTTTTTTTTCTATAACTTAACGTTAAACCAAATTTGGGCTGAAGATGTCTCTGCTCCTTAAGTCCTTACCAAGGAATTGCAACTTCATTTACTATATAAACTAACGGAAAGCCTAACAGTAGAAGTGAACTTTTGTAACCAAATAGCTGAGTCTCAGTCAGTCACAGGTGACCAACTAATCAGATCATCTTCAAATAAGGCAAACCCCAAGCTGTAATCAATCAAGCTATTTCTGTACCTCACTTGCATTTTCTGTTCATAAATGCTCCAGCCCATGTTTTTATGTGAGCTCTCTGAACCTCTCTGGTTCCAAGGGCTGCCTGATTTGGGAACAGTTCTTTGATGAATTAAATTTTGCTAAATTAAATTTGCCTCAAGCTTTTATTTTAACCACAATAAGAGCCAGTATCATAAGATTTTGTACCTTACCAGAAAACCAGATGAATTATCCAGCAGACACCTCAGACGACATATGAAGCACCTCTCCATAAAAGGAGAGTTTTCTGGAGGAATCTGTTCTGCGTTATAACAGACTACTGGCTGGGGGAGACCAGGGGCTTCTGTAGAAATAAAGGCAAAACAAATTTACTTTCCATTTTGCTGTAAAATTAAGCATCTGCGTAGGTAAAATTTGTATTAGTTTCTAAACTGGAGTCTGTATTCTGAACACAAAAAAATCATTTTCAGAAGAGCTAATGACAAGAAACTAAAAGTTTATTAAATATCACTTTTATCAGATAGAACTTGTGTAATTTTTATTGAGCTATCACTGTCAACAATTTTCACATTTTCTAACGTATTTTTGTTTTCTTTAACACTTTAAGAAATTTCCAAAAACATTTTTTGCATTGAGAAAAGCATTTTTATACTTGCATATGCTAGCTTACTTTTTTCTTTGGTGCATTTTAAACACAATAATTTACATGCACTCAGGTATCAACCTTGTGTACCTTCCTTCCATCTTTCATGATGGTACCACTTATTTTTATAAAATACATTACTGAGTATGGAAATACTCTGTTGCCTGAAACTCATTAATGGCTCTCATTTGCCAAAATATTCCTTAGCTCATCAGGTTCACTGTGGCCTATGATTGCAGATTTATATCTTTCCACTACTTCCCTATCATGGAGTTCTATGACCTTCCAGGTTCCCAGCCTCCTTTCACAGAATCATATTTAAAAACTACCAACACAATCTTTTGTACCATCAGTTCTTACCATCAATTCCTTGTCCAGACTCTGTACACTGAGAAGGATTTAACGCCCAGTGTAGCTGACGCTGAAATTCAGCTCGGTCTTCCGTATGGATAAGTTCATACACACTCTGATGTATGACATCAGACTAAAGAAAAAAGATACAAGGAATACAATAAAAGCACTGATTAAAAAAATATGGCTTACTAAATTAATTTTAAAGCCTATTTAGATTAGTGGGTGCTTGCTAGTGGTGATGAATACAAATTGGATGATTCCTAAAGTTCCCTAGTCACCTAAGATAGAAAAAGCTAGACAGACTGGCACTACAACAGATAAGCCAAAAGTTACTTGTCATCAGTTCCCAACGTGAATGCTCTTGCTCAAATAAGTCACCTCCCCATTCCTTAAATGCAACGTATTAAAATCTGTTTATGTTTTGTATCCATTTGTTAATTTTTAGATTCTTATCTCTTCCACGCAGCTTTTCCTAACCACCCAGGCCTCTTTGACTTCTCTAAGCTTAATGGTATTCTCTAGGTATTTCCTTCACTGTTCTCTAAAATTTTCTTCGTATAAAATTTTCACTCCAAGTAGACTCCACAAGAGCAAGGGATTGTGCCTTTACTATATCAAACCCACTTTCCTACTCTTGCCTCTCACCATTTACTACAGTGCTGAGCCCTTAGTGCTTAAACCAGAGTTTTCCTTTTTTTTTAACTGCAAGTTGTGATAAAAAACACATTTCTATCTGTCATAGGTGTATGCATAGACATATACACATGGAAAAGTTTCACAAAACACTTACCATTATTACATGAGATAATACTGTGTATTCTATATTATTTTATTCCATCCTAAACAACTAAAAAACAGTTTGATGGTGATCCACTGTCTTGACTGCATACCCATGAGCGAGTCACAACTTGCAGTTTTAAAAATAGTGTCTTAATCTACCACTTGTGTCAGATATGAATGTTGTTTTAGGAAAAAAATCCATGTGTATATGGGAGAAAAAAAATGGACTGGAAAATGGCTGATCTCTTTGATTTTCTTACTGATATAAATCACAATATCAAATCATGATTAAGACAGTTATATAATTCATTTGGCTTCAAACAGGCTTTTCTATGGACATTAATATATTTTCTTTAGAATGCAACAAATCAGAAGTTTAGACTTTGTGGTAGTAGCTAGATTCCACTATTTTAGTCATCTACACTTAAATCTTCCTAGGAACCTAGTCTTCTCATATTAAATCATCTTGATGCCATTACACAATTTCCAGAAGTTGCATCTGAAACACAAGTTGAAATGCACATCCCCTTTAACAAAAGCCTTCAGTGGTCTCCATTGGACATACAATATAGTTGAAGCTCTAGTCTATAAAACTGTTATTAAGACCAGCAGCCTTGTGAGCTTGATAGAAGTGCAAATTCAAGAGCCCCACTGTGAACTACTGATTCAGAACATCTGGCAATGGGTCTCAGAGATGACCAAGTTTTATCAAGGTCTTCAGGTGAGTTCTGTGCACATTGCAATTTGAGAACCAGATATACGAGAATAGCAAGCATTCAAATATTACAATCTGTTCTTAAACCATAAAAGATGTTATTGTCCTTCAAATATGTCAAGTATTTATAATTCCATCTATTCATCATTCATTCAATAACATTAAACAAGCCAGTCACGTTAGTTTCCTTCAATGACTTCCAGTCTAGTGCTTACAGTACTTCTATATTCCTATGTTCTCTCGTCCACCCACCTGCTACACAATATTTAGGTCAGCTTATACACCATTTGATTTAGGATATCTTCCGTAATCCACATAAATCAGAATTAAAGGTATAAATCACAGGATTTTACTTGTACTTTTTATACAGCACCTCATTCATTTCATAGTTGTCATATATACTCTGCTATCCATTGATGCCAAATAATTTTGTATCTTATCTCCTAGACCCCATGTGCCTGAAAGTTTCTTATATATGAGATTCTTGATAAGCAAAAGAAGAAACACAATAACCATGAATCGCATAAAGATTTAAAGGAATTAATAGTGCAGTAAATTATTAATATTAGAGAAAATTATTAGCTACAAATACATAATGTATTCTACAGCATATATTGATACTTTATACATACAAATGGTCAACTGTGTCCGAAAGTATAACATACATGAAAAGTAAATGATATAATAATATAAATGACATAAGTAATATATACTTACCTGCTGAAACCCTAGATAATCTTGTATAGTAGAAGAAGCATAAAAGACCAAAGCATCTGTAGTGACAACTAATACAAAGCCATTCAGAGCCTACAAGGAAAGGAAGTTCTAAAATTAGTAATACGACTTAATATTGACCGTCACATAAAAGTTATTACTTTTATCTCTGAAAAATCTTCTCTTCAAAATGGTTAAAATAATTACATTTCACAAACACAGCCATAACATACACTCCTGGACTAAGAAATACCTATTCATACCTTTTGATTTGTCTACGGAAAAACAGCTAAATTTAATGCTCAATCAGAATAACTCCGGTAGAATATGGAATTCATCTTCTTCCTCATGTTTCAGATTTTCTCTTTTAAATATATTGTACATATTTTTTAAAGAACAAACTACTTAGACATCATTCACTATAGTCTATCACACTGCTTTTTTTTAGGGGGAAACTGGAGGCAAAGATGTTGATGAGATTCTTAAAGTGGGAACACTAAAATTCTTCTTGTACAAAGACATTTCAAGCACTGACACCAACATTTTAAGTCAGAACATTTTAAGACTTTTATAGGAAAACACAATATATATATTATATATACGTAATTAAAATATAATACACATGCAAAGCAAGCATACGTGAATTTAGTCCACTAAAATTTAATGTCATTATGAACATATACTTAAATTTATCATTTTGTACGTGTTATTTCTATTTGTTCACAGCACATTCGTATGTATAATGTTTCTTTTTCTCTCTGTTTTGCCTGCTTTGGGTCCATTATTATTAGTCCATACTCTTTAGTTTGGAAGTTATAGTCTCTTTTTCTATTACTGGATAATTCAAGTCCAATATCAACTAATACCTTTATTCTCCTCTTGGATAACAATCGTATCACAGATCACTTTATTATTATCATATATTTTAATTCTATAAGCCCTCACTGTTTTCTCCTTGAGTTCAATTTGGTATTTGATCTATTCTTTACTATGTGATCATAGCTAATGTCTTCTAACACCCTCTTTTTCATGTAAGGAGAAATATAGTATGGTTTAGTTTAAGAATTGTACTGTGTAGTCAGACAGATTTGGTGTGGACTCCTGTCTCTGTCTATTACTAGTTGTGGGGCTGTGTGGCTTTGGTTAAGGTATTTACTCCTTTTTAGGCTTCAGTGTTATTTCAAAAACTGGCGCTTCATCAGGTAGACATAATGACAATATCCCACCTAACTCAATGCTTGGCACAGAGCTAGCACTCAGTGTAATAAGGTACAATGCTATATGGTTGTAGAAATAAGCAAATAAATATTTACATCACGATGCTTTGAGAACTATAAAGAGCTATATAAATAATAGTGATTCATTTATTCAACACATAATAAACTATTACATTCCCAAGGGGAAATATGTATGCTAAGTACTGGGATTTAAGAGTTAACAAGGCTTTGCCCTTGTGCTTATGATGCTCACATCTAGTCTAGTCAATATCTTCATTATCAGATGAAATAAATGAAATACAGTGGCTATCTCTCTTTTCACTCCAATTACTTTCCACATTCAAGATTCTTGATCTGTATTATCTGACAACTGGACTACAAAGATAACAACTATTATTTAGTATTCCTTTTTCTAAATGTTTTTATGTATTTGAGTGGTTTATTTCTCCCAAAAACCCAATGAGGTAAGTGCCATGTTCCAGTTTTACAATAGAAGAAACTGAAGTCAAGGACTATACCTTTAAAAGTAACTTGCCCAAAGTCACAGAGCCAGAAAATGGCTGATCCAGGAGATAAACTCAGTCTGGTTCCAAAGCATACTCACTTAAATAACATGATATGCTGCCTTTATGTGTTATCGATCCCAAATTGGTGCATGGTTCTGACTGTTTTGTTCTGTTTTTTTACTTTTAAGTTCAGGGGCACAAGTGCAGGTTTTTTACATAGGTAAACTTGTGTCATGAGGTTTTGTTGTACAGATTATTTCATCACCCAGGTATTAAGCCTAGTACTCATTAGTTATATTTCCTGATCCTCTCTCCCTCCTCCCACCCTGCAGCCTCTAAATGGCCCCAGTGTGTGTTGTTCCCCTCTGTGTGTCCATGTGTTCTCATCATTTAGCTCTCACTTATAAGTGAGAACATGCAGTATTTGGCTTTCTGTTCCTGTGTTAGCTTGCTAAGGATAATGGCCTCCAACTCCATCCATGTCCCTTTAACCACAAGCAGGCTCTCAGGTTTTTGACTACAAATATTATATGTAATACCCGCAATTCCCTTAGGATAAACAATGGTGATTCTACCCATAAGAACTTCAATATTTAATGATTAACACACTCAAAATTGGATATTCTTAAATTCTCTTGACAGTAACACCATATATCCATCATTGCACTGATTTATTCTGAAAATATCTGCTATCCATTAATCACATTCATATTATTTTGTAGAACATCATACGTTTTCAAACAGTGAAACAAATTTAGTCACATTCCAATAAACTCATTGGTGTATATGCCAGAAGACAGAAGGATAATTGAAGTACAGTTATCAAATCTCTTTAGACAAATGTTAATTGTTAGAAATAAAAATCTAGAAAGAATAGATGCATATCAATTTTTATATATCTCAAATGATCTCAAGTACCAGGAGGAACAAGTTATTACTTGTATTGATTTGTCTTAATAAATTAACAGAAGGAATTAATATACTAATTAAATAAAAGAGATCATCATTCTTTTAGTCTTAGTCACAAAGATTCACTCCATCTATCTGAAAATTATGTTGAGCTCACTTACTATTTAAGAGAAATTGCAATTAATACTGTTACATAAAATTTCAACTGCTGTCACTGAAAAAACTGCAAGATTTTAACAAGTACAGTATTAAATAGCAAGAGATATAATTTATTTTAAACTTATGAAATAAACATGTGAAGTAAATAAAGACACAGTGATTAGTACTGTTTCATTTTTATTCCTTGTAAAATAGTAATAAATTGAAGCTAACCTAGAAAGATGTCTTAAATTTTTAATAAAAATTTTTTTTTTTGAGATGGAGTCTCGCACTGTCACCCGGGCTGGAGTGCAGTGGCGTGATCTCTGCTCACTGCAACTTCTGCCTCCTGGCTTCAAGTGATTCTCTCGGGCCTCAGCCTCCTGGGTAGCTGGGATTACAGGCACCCGCCACCACGCCCAGCTAATTTTTTGTATTTTTAGTAGAGATGGCCAGACTGGTCTTGAACTCCTGACCTCGTGATCCACCTGCCTCAGCCTCCCAAAGTGCTGGGATCACAGGCGTGAGTCACTGCCCCAGCATTTTAATAAAAAATTTTGTGTGGCCGGGCGCGGTGGCTCAAGCCTGTAATCCCAGCACTTTGGGAGGCCGAGACGGGCGGATCACGAGGTCAGGAGATCGAGACCATCCTGGCTAACACAGTGAAACCCCGTCTTTACTAAAAAAAATACAAAAAACTAGCCGGGCGAGGTGGCGGGCGCCTGTAGTCCCAGCTACTCGGGAGGCTGAGGCAGGATAATGGCGTAAACCTGGGAGGCGGAGCTTGCAGTGAGCTGAGATCCGGCCACCACACTCCAGTCTGGGCGACAAAGCGAGACTCTGTCTCAAAAAAAAAAAAAAAAAAAAAAAAAAATTTGTAACATTTTCTTTATATGCCTTTGTTAAGCAGAGGAAAATAATTCTCCTCAAAAGTTTTAGGCCATATGGTATACAGAACCTCTGGTAACATCTTCCACATTGTACGGGTAATTGGCTGATAACTGTAGGTTGCAATATAAAGTCAGATGTCATTATGCAATTGTATATAATGAAACAACCATTTTCACATATCTATGTTTTTAGTCATCTTCTTCATAAAAAGATAACATATAAGCACAATCCTAAGAAAATCATATAGTATGTGAGTCTTCCGATTAGACAGCAATCTACAAATGGTATTCAATATAAACAGGTAAGTTTATTTTAACTTCTTAAGGGCTACCAATTTGCAGATAATTTAAAATATATATATTCCATATAATTATAGCTTTACAGCTTTGCATTCTTATTATCGTTATTCTGTTTCCCTGACATATGGTATGTACACAATTTGTCTAAACGTTTTGGGAAAAAAATAAAAATTATTGGTCCATAATTTAAACCAACTTGCCAAGTGTTATGGCGATCAGTCCATATTTGTCTATTTCACCTGAACTACAGGATTTCATTATGGCCTTAGTAGATAACCCAAGAGGTGTGTTAATCATCTTAAGCAGCAATTATTAAAATGATTTCCTATGACCTGAATACAGAGTCTTTATGTTTGGGTTTATATATACATGAAGATCCTCAGTTGGGGCTGGGGGAGGACTCATGTTTTAATAGATTTACTTTGTTTAACATAAGTTAATTTTTGCTAACAGGAATTTGAATGTGATTACTCAATTGTAATAAAAAATGCTATATTATTAGGCACATCACCATTCACCGAATGAACTAGTGGAGTTACCAAAACTTAGGGTTACTTTTTGTAACAATGGTGAAGTTAGTTTTTCTAGTCAGTTCAGTGGGTGAAACTGAAAATGATCACATAGTTGTGATAGCACACATGGCACATATCTTTATTCTATCTTTTTTCAAAAAAAAAAATTATCTGAGAATTTTAAGTGAGAATCAATCATGGCATCAATTCTAAAAAAAAAAAAAGAGTAAAAAAAGATTCAAAATGCTTTCACAGGCAAATTAGAAACTAAATTCTGAAGCATAAAAATAGGGACTACAGTTGATAAAATCTTTAGTATGTGAATAAGTCACAAACAGTTGCTAAAATAAAATGTAAGTCATAATATATTGACAAAATGAAATTTGGGTTAAGAAGTATGTTAAACTGAGAAATGCATTTAACAATTTTTTTTTTTTTAGACGGAGTCTGGCTCTGTCGCCCAGGCTGAGTCGCCCAGGCTGGAGTGCAGTGGCACAATCTCGGCTCCCTGCAAGCTCTGCCTCCAGGGTTCACAGCATTCTCCTGCCTCAGCCTCCTAAGTAGCTAGGACTACAGGCACCAGCCACCACACCCGGCTAATTTTGTGTGTGTGTGTTTTTAGTGGAGATGGGGTTTCACCGTGTTAGCTAGGATGGTCTTGATCTGCTGACCTCGTGATCCGCCCGCCTTGGCCTCCCAAAGTGCTGGGATTACAGGCGTGAGCTACCGTGCCCGGTTGCATTTAACAATTTTAATAGAGATACATTCCATAAAAAGTATATATAAATTCAACATCTTAAATTAGAACCTTTAAAATACTCTAGGAGTTCTTTCTGTTTGAAGAAATATTAATACAACAGAAGGGGTGGACCAGTCCTCTAACTAATCTCCTTCATATACAGTCATGTATTACTTAACAGCAACATACGTGGTTAGGTGATTTTCATCATCACGCGAACATCATAGAGTATACTTATATAAACCTAGATGGTATAGTCTACTATACACTTACACTATACAGTGTAACTTATTGTTCCAGGGTTACAGACATGTACAGCATGTTACTATATGGAATACTGTAGGCAATTTTAATACATGGCAAGCATTTTTGTATCTAAACATATCTAAACTAGAAAAATTACAGTAAAAAATATGGTGTAATCTTACGGGACCACTGTCGTATATGTGGTCTGTTGTTAACTGAAACGTCATTATACGATGCACGACTATAATTCCATTTTTTCATGTATTAAGCATCATTCACTATTGCAGTTCAGATGAAACTGACAAAAAACATTGAGTGAATCCCAAATCAACTGGGAATTATTAAAACACTTCTTAATTCATTTTCCATTTACAACTGTCCTTAGTGTAAGAAACTATATTTACGAAAATTTACCTGTAATAAGAATTCTCCTTCTTGTAAGTTCAGGCCTTCTCTGAAATTTGCTGCTCTACAGTTCTCCTGGCCTCCATTTCTTTCAGCAGGGGAGGATTTTAATGCAACTACGGAAAAAAGGGAAAAATAATGATTTTAAAAGTAAGCAAAAGTAAAGAGCTATAATAGAAAACTTCTGAACACCAAACAAAGACAACTTGAAATACTGGCATCTACTGGTATTTTTAGTAATTGGGTAATACAAGGTAAATAATAAACACTAGGTAAGTAATCCTGTTGCCAGTGGGTGGTTCCTTATTCTATGCTAGTAACAAAACTGAAGGACTTAGTCAAGTTGTCAGCTGACAGATTGTTAAAAATTGTTGATGAGTTCACAATATGACTTTTGTCACAAAACTGAGGAGTTTCAAAGAACTGCACAACAGTGTTATAAACACTCCTCTCCACTCCCACCTCCTTTCTTAGGAGATTAAAGTTCTCCATAATGTAACCTATAAAAATGACTCCAACTTTTTATATATTTATCAAAATATCAGGCAACTGGTGGTGGTGAGGAGAACAAAAGCAACTATGCACCTACTGAGATGTATTTCCGAAGTGTGGAATCTTCTTGTCCAGCATTTGGGTAAAAACTGTTAATTACTGTTATTATTTAATAGGTTCATGTTAAATTTATAAATTAACTCATGGAGAATTAACGTCTTCATAATCTTGAATCATTCTATACAAGAACACACATTTTTTTCCATTTGTTTAAGTCTGTATTTTGTCCTGCTAGAATGTTTTAAAGTTGTCTACAAAAAAGATGTGCATAGGCATTTTTATATTTACTCCTAGGTATTACATCTTGTCGGCTGTAGAGTGGCTTCTCTATTATATCTTCTAACTGCTTGTGGATTATATACGTGAAGGAAAGTCTGATGGCATGATAGGATGCTTACTATTGGAGGTGGCATGTTATAATGCTATTTCTTCTTTTTTTTTCCTCACTCTGTGTGTGTGTGTGTGTGCGTGTGTGTGTGGTATGTATATATTTATAGTATGGGAGGAAGCACAGCTGAATAGAAATAATAATAGCTACCACTTACTTAAACATTTTGCCAAGCACTTTCAAATATTATCTCACTTAAAAGCATGTGGATATTGGTAACTGTTAGAATTGGGCTCAAATCTTACCTTTGACATTTACTAAAAGTGGGAGTTATTTGAGCCTGTCTCCTAATATGTGAGGTGGTAATTAAAAAAATTTTCTAAAGCACATCTTGCAGGGCTGTTGTGAAGAGTAATGAGAATATATGTAAAGTTTCTGACACACAGCAGATCAATAGTAGTTCAACAAACAGTAGCTTTAATTACTAGAAATATTTCTAAGAGCTTATGGATTCCTTGGTTATAAAGTATCATCTTTTAGACACTTTCTACTTTCTGACCTTTTTTTAACCTGTGATATTTGAATAAGAGAAACCATTAAATAAAACTGACTCTGGCAGTCCTCTTAAGACATACTTCACTATATGTTTATGTGACTAAATCATCCAGCTCAGTGAAAAAACTGGAGATTTACTACTAACTAGACTTTCTCTCAGTTTGAGCAGAGTACCACATATAAAACCTGTCTGCAGTCTTTCATGTTTGCAGTGTATTTTCTGGTAAATCATCAGTGAACGTGTCACACCAGAATCTCATGCCAAGTTCTTGCCTTTGCAGAAGTTAAAACATATCTCTTTGCAAGAAACAGCCAAAAGCACAGTCTCTGAATATAACCTCAAAAGGCCAGAGAACAGATTTCCTTAGGCCAAAAAACAGTGAGGCAAACTGACCTAACAGTTCATCGAGACCAAAGGAAATGTTTAATCCGTACAGAGAGAGAATGGTAGAAGAGAGAATGGCCTTTTCTCCCTTTCTGTTCTGTAAGTTATGTTGTTGCTTGCTTACTAATGGCCACATTTGCTTGAATGCACAAAACCATACAATGTCAGAGTCAACTATATTCTGTTACTTTTCTAAAAGCTCTAGTATGAAGCACAATTTAAGAGTTAGACCAAGCATCAGTAATACTTGCTTTTAAAAAGAAAACAACAAAGCCAAACCCTTATATTATGAAATAAGCCTAAAAATGGACAATAACTGTGTCAGATTTTATATATCTAAATTATTGCTGGAAATCTCTTAAAATTAATATTTAATCAACACAATTGGTATTACTTCCACCTAGAGTCACTGGCAGTAGAAAAACATAAATATTAAGAGAGAACTACTTGATCGCTGAGAAGACGACTAAGCAATGAGAGAGACCATTCATCTCAGAGTAATTTATAATTTGTTCTTGGGCTTGCACTGGGGGTATTAGCCAATGTAATTAGACACTAGAGTCACACCATGTCTTTAAGTAGGGCATATAAGCTGTGGAAATAACTAGAAAACAATGTCAAAAAAATACTAAGTACCAGAATAGGGTTTAATTAAAGTATTACAGGAACTTGAAGTAGAGAAAAAAATAAAAAGAACAAATTCTTTCTAAACAACAATGCTTATAATTCCAAATGCTGGAAGGATGATATTTAATATGTATAACTACTACATAAGTAGGAAAAGTGACAAGTTCATTTGTGGGAATGATTACTGGAGGTTTCTACCAAAAACAAATATGTAAATATTTCTGTTGCTCTTGTGTTTAAGGTTAATCATTGGTAAATCATTTAAGTAAATATTGTGCAAAGATGAGTCCAAGAAGGGTGGACTTTTAAAATCATTTAAAAAACACTGCTGTGCTTTTTTAGGAAACTAATTTTATGCCATGGCCTCTCAGCCTAAACTATGTAATTTCTACCCTTGCATGAAGTTTTTCTTCTATTTCTTGCTCTCATGCCTACTACCTCTAACTTATTAAAATTACTAGAAGCTCTATCAACACTACTCATTTTCAGGTATATAATTCTCACGGTGATTAGAAAGCAAGCAATGAGTAAGAAAGTGACATTGAGACACTATCTCAAGAGCTGCTTCCTACCATCGGAGTGACTTTACTTAGTAATCATATGTGATACTGGGCACACGCTATACACCTAGCACTTTCCACATATTATATCCTATTTAATCTTCGTAATAGTTCTATGAGACTGACATTGTTCTTTCAATATATTAGGAAGCTGAGACTTAGGGAGGTTGAGAAAATGTTCCCAGGGTCATAGAGATTTAAGCGGCAGAGCTTAGACAAAAACTCAGGTAGCCAGACCTCAGTGTGTGAGCTATTATTAACCACTGCCCACTATGCTAACCATGTTTGACCTTTAGTTTCCTCGTCTTTAAATAAGGACAATGCTACCTCTTGAGACAAATTCTTGTGAAGACTCAAATAACATGTAGAATACCAGGGTAATACCTGGGATCAATCACTGACAATCAAGGACAGAGGTAACGAAGTCTATGCTGAGTTTATACACCCTCAAACCATGATGAGAAACTTACAATTAAAGTGCCCCTGAGGAGGCAACTGAGTATTTTATCAGCTTTAAGTGGAGAGCAGTAATAAGTATCTAATAGGATTGCTATGATAACTATACGACACATTTGAAAGTACAGCTGACCCTGGAACAACATGGGTTTGAACTATGCAAGTCCACTGACATGTTTCTGCCACTCCCAAGCCAGCAAGACCAACCCCTCCTCAGCCCACTCAACATGAAGACAATGAGGATGAAGACCTGTATGATGATCCATTCCACTTAATGAATAGTAAATATATTTTCTCTTCCTTATGATTTTCTTAATAACATTTTCTTTTAGCCTACTTTAAGAATACAGTATATAATACATATACAAAATACACATTAATCAGCTGCTCATGTTATTATTAATACATTGTTCACGGGTCAACTACACTTCAAAACTGTAAATTGTTACATAAATTATATGCATAATGACACTTTAAACATTACACCACTGGAATTAAATTTACGACAATCTATAGAAACAAAATGTCGTATCTGAAAATAAGTAACCAGCTGGGAAGTAGCTGCTGTACCGTAATGGGCATTTGTTAAAATCCTCCCCATCAGTGAGGATATGCACCACTTCCCAAAGTGGGAGAATCAAACTCTGAACATTCAGTAGAATGTTAAGATAGTAAACCACCAAATTATTTCCACTATTTCCTCATTGAAAAATCTATGAAGGAGTCATACAATACAAATAAGAATTTAATCTAAAAAATGATGGAATTTAGAGTGCAAATACATCACAGCATTATCAAATGGCCATACTGCAGATGACTCAAGTTTTAATCCCACATGCATTTAACCATATCCATGTTTCCTAATCTGGTACTTTCCTTCCTTAGACATCTAAGCTCAGATTTCCACTGCTCTCTAAAAGCCAAATCTCTTCATATCACATGCTTTGAATTGGTCAAGGAAAAAAAAAAATTCATGAGGAATACTGAATAGTGGTAAACTGTATTTTGTATTTTGTTACTATAGTTTACATTTAAATAGATGACAGGATAAAAGTCTTGCCAGGGAAAGTAAGACTTTTAGTCCCTAACTGCTGCTATAAATTCAATATATTTCATAATATTTATCATCCTCTTTACTACTTTGGCAGGGAAAATTCAATTCCATTCCCATATTGACATAAACATAAAGGAGAGCAATGCTATGACTTATAAAATTCAACCAACCACATAAACTTTTATAAATTAGAAAGGGTTAAGTAATGCAGTATTTCTTAAATTTAAGAAACATTCCCAGTTTATTTAGTCTGGTATGATGGGTATTTCCAAATAATATATTAAGTGTACCTAAAAGGAGCTTCTTCTACATACCTACTGGTAAAACATACATGTTTCACTCCAATACACTGCTTCTTTTGTAAAAGAAGCATTCTTTTGAGGGAAAGAGGGAAGAAACTAAAGAAAACTATGTTATATTCTAAATTCCTAGGAAACAGAGATTAGGTCTACATAGTCTAGTACCTTCTAATTATACTGATAGACTACTGCTTTTCTGCCTACAAATTTCTAATCATCATTGTAGAATGGAAGAATATTCAGTTTTTTTAAATGCAAATGTTAGTTTACATATTTATGATTGATTGCAGGTTGAGAAAC